AAGAGAAAGCAGGAGGGTTGGAATCAGAAGGATCCTTATCCTGGCCCAGAGTCCTGGCATCGATGGCTTGGCTGGACAGGTCAGAATCGAGGAGCTCCATAATCATCCGGCATCCTTTCAATGTTGTACCTGAGAAAGAAGAAAAACTTATGAAGACAACCTACTCCACACTGCTCTCCTCCCCACTGTGGTGGAGCATCTACCCCCTCCTCCTCCTCGGGGCTGCTGTATGATCTCAGGGATTCCTGACAGGCCTTGGTCTTTGTGTAATGAGTTGGGCAGTGAAGCATCCCTTGAACATACCAGGAGGTCTTGCATGGCTAAGATGGAATAGCACTGACTGTACCAGGAACTCCTTTTGCCTGGCTATGGTGAAGGATGTGAGTGCAACTAAGCAGTCATCTCCTGCCCTATCTGAATCGTGGCCTGAGTGGAATGGTACCATTGTTACTGGAGTTCTGGAAACTCTAGTAATTACCAATCTGGATTGTGGCCTAGATGTACAATTTATGGACAACTAAAACCAATCACCTTGCGACTCTATAAAGAGTGGTCTTAAGTGAGGCCCTTTGAGCTCTCCTGGGCTGCAGAGTGCTGTACAAGCACCTCCCTCTGAGCGGGACACCTCTCAGAGGTCATGAACTCGCAAGTATGCGATACTTGAAGGACCGTAGCTCAGCCTTTGCCTGTTGAAAAATGCAGAGGCATTCAATGTATTTCACTGAACCTGATGAAAATTTTTACCAGGTACCTTTATACATTTAGATACATCCATCTCTGTGTCCACGTGCACACGTGTGAATTGGCTGAAATACTCTTTACCAAGTGTAGTATGAATGTTGTTTCCTGAATCTATAATTAAGTCATTGTTATAATTGTAGTAAATCCTATTGAATCACTTTATAACTGTTAAGTTAGTCAATGACTAAGTGCTGCTAAAATCTAATTTAGACAGAAACTGTTGACCAAATCTGGGACTAAGATTGGATCTAGCCACACCTGGACTCCATCAGGAGTTTGAAAAGTAAGGGAGTCCATTCCGAACCTTGTGACCCAATGGAAGGATTTTATATTGAATTTTTAGACATAAACCATTGACCAAGCCTGGGACTAGGATTGGATTCAGCCCCACCTAGCCTCTGTCAGGAGTTTAGAAAGCAAGGAGATCCTTTCTGAACCTTGTGACTCAACAGGAGGGTCTTCCTTACACTTTGCACTCCCAGTCTCCATGCAAGTCATCCTAAAGCGATTCTAAGCTGATTTTCCTTTGCATTTTTCATCCATGTAGTAAGAGAGTGAACCTTGACATCAAACTCTGTTAAGTTGCACTTCTGCAAATTTATATTAAAACTTGCTTTTGCTAATATCTTTAATGGTGATTGTTGCAGTGGCCTAAACCACCCATTCATGACACCATCCGGCAACAGGCTTACAGGCAGACTGAACAGCAAGCTTTGTTGCATTTTTATCTGCAGCTCAGATTCCCAGGAAGAAAAATATTACTTCTGAAAGTAAAAAGTCTTCATAACATTGCTGTTATTCTTCACCTTAAACTCAGAAATCAGGCATCTCAGAAACTCACCATCTCCAGAGAAGGAAAAAAAAGGTGGTTCTGTAAGACTTAGAATTTAAGAGCAGACCACCACAGAGAATAAAACTTTTGACATTCAACTTATAATTCACAGAATCACAGAATCATTTAGGTTAGAAAATACCTCCAAGATCACCAAGTCCAACCTCTGACCAAAGACTACCTTGTCAACTAGACCATGGCACTAAGTGCCATGTCCAGGCATTTCTTGAACACCTCCAGGGATGGTGACTCCACTACACCCCTGGGCATCCTGTTCCAAAAGTTCATGGCCATACTGAATAAGAGGCAAAGATGTTTTGAGAGAAAAATCTTTTGAGCCACATTCTAATTATAGATCACTTAAGACTTTACATATTTCTAGCAATCAACCTCCTCATTTCCAACATGCTGCACTAGTATCCTTCTGAGTTGTTTAGTTTTTAGCTAAGAAGCAAATTCAATCTCTTAGCTGAGGGTACACAAAGCTACCAAATGGAATATGGAACAAGAATATTCTTTTCCTCAAGGACCTGCAGAATGCATTGCCTGGTAGTCCTGCTGCTGCTGGTAAGCAAAACTGATCTATGGAAACACTGGCCTCAAGGAAAGTAGCTCTTCTGGTAAAGACAAGTGAACAAGCAGACTGCAATAAAAGTGGGTCTGTGGCCAGTCTCTTCCCAGCAGTAGCTGTACTTCAACTTCTGTGCAAACACCAGACCCTTTACTGCAGCCTGCGCTACGGACAATGCAGGAGAGAAGTCCATGGTGACAGAGTCCCTGTCAGACAAGGATTACACTGGGAAGGGTTTCTCTCTGTCAGGGGGCCCTTACCTGTGCCTGGAAATATACATTATAGGCACTCCAGGGATTTTTCGTATTCTCCGCTTGAGCTCTTTATCTACGGTGGCCACAATGTAACATTTGTGCTGCAAAAAAAGAAGGCAGGTCAGATTTAACACCAGCGAACCAACAGAAAAGACATAACTGATCAAACACTTCTATTCAGTGAGCTCGTTAAACACAAGAAGGCTAAGAATACTTAGCAAGGCATTACTAGGACTTGTACAGAATTCCACAGCAGACTAGTAACATCCTTCTGCTTGTCAAAATAGACTCACAGAAATTTCTGAAGGTCTGTCCAGCCTTCCAAGCTGACAGCTTTGCCATCCTCAGTGGTTCTTGATGCTGTTCTGTGCAACAAAAATGCCCAGGGAAGACAATACCTTGCACCAAATACAGTTGTTCTAGGGACTGAAACTGCCCCTTAGTGAAATTTTGTAGTTACTTTGTGGGAAATTTAAGTCATTAGTAGTTAGGAGGGTTAAGGAATTTTTAGTATGTTAGCACAGTACAGAAAACGTCAGAGAGGGAAATACCTGAGTGACCCTCTGTACCAAGCAGTCATCTGCGTAGGTTCCTTTGTGCATACATGGCAAGCGTTCAAACCGAGGGTCCTTGGCAATTCTATGGGGACATATAAGGCAGCATCACAGCAATCAGACCACAGAGTACAGTAACACAGTACAGAGGAATAAGAACACCCCTTTCTGTGATATGCAGAACATTGTTCTCAAAACAAGGGCTGAAGGGATGGAGTAAATGGTACATAAAAGTCAAATGAAATGAGGAGCAAAAAAGAATGCAGTTTGTCTAATTATTATAGGTTAAGTATTTCTTAGTACTGGTTAGTTGGATTCAAAATCTGTAAAATGTCAGGCCATTGCCAAACAAAGTAATTTGAAATAAGTTATCTGTGGGAAGAACTAGAACTCCTTCCGGTGTGTGATCGTTCACACCATGCATATAGGGACATTGCACCTTCTCTCTGAAGGGCAACATCGAAGCTGCTTAGGGGATGTACTCGGATAGTTTACAACACAGCAGGCCAAAATAAAAAGTAAAGAACAACACATCTGAGTGGAGGATGTGAACTACATTGGACTAGTGTTGTACAGATCACACAATAACCTAGCTCTAGATTATCAATACATGGTACCTACTCATACAGGAGTAACATGAAGTATGAGTAAAAAGTTCCATAAGACTCAGGTCACTTCTTTATTCATTTTTAGAAATTCTAAAATTAAAAAAAATATATATTTTTTGAGAAACAAGAAAAAGGCTTACTTTGAAAATCTTAGGAGAATGAAAGATTACAGATTGATACTGTGCACTCATACATAGCATTTTGTTTTAAAAAGCAAAAAAATCTAAACCTCGAGACATTGTACTCATCTTGTACAGCCAGAGAACTAAAACCAAGTTCAGGACTCTGCAACAACCTAACCATCCTCTAGTGCAGGAGCATGTCATGGCAAAAGAGAAGAGAACACCCTGCACCTACCTTAACGCCACACGGTACTTCTGTCCTAACTTTTCAATTTCACCCATTACACAGTCTGTAATACACGGAATACCTACATGCAAAAAAAGCCTGTATTAATACAAAGCAATATTTATTCACAGACTTCTATATTGCCCACATGTCCAGGAACGATCATGGAACTCTAAAACATATTACTTACAGCAAGAACTGATAAGGTTGCAAAGTGATGAAATGTAGAGCCACTGAGTTTGACCATGCCATCGTAATTTTAGATATTTAAGTATTAATGCTCTACCTTTGTTGAGACTAGCATTTATGACCACTGTTTGACTGAAACCAGAGGCAGTTCCAGGGTTACCATAGCCATGAACAATCAGCTCCAAGATTATGGCATATATCCTTTTTTCAAGATTTCTGTTATTTTCAGCCAGTGGCATGAGGCTGACAAAGCACATTCCAAGCACAGTGTGGCACTGCTTAGTCAGAAGAAGCTGCGAGTGGTGTGGACACTCACACTTGGCATAGAGACAGTCCATCATTGACTGCACTAGGTCCAGCTTGGCCTTGATGGAGAAGTTGATGAAGTTAGTGTCAACCAGGATGTGGTAAGGGGGGCCCAGCTGTGTATTATACTGGAAGAACAAGCAAGAGGGATGCTGGGGGCTGCCAGGAAGACAAAGAATTCAAATCAGTTAAATGCATTTAACAACATGTCCAATCCTACAACTTGCAGAGAACGAAAGAGGAGTAATGAGCAGAAAGACTCCTGCTGCCTCTTAAGCACAGTCCCTTGGTTTGGCCACACCATGTCCTTTTCTGACAGTTTTGCTCAGAAACATCCTCGGTTACAGCCTGCAGCGTGGCCGGACCTCGCTCCCTTCTTCCCTCCCTCCATCCTCTCTCCCCAAAGTGTCGGCAGTACTTACACCTCCCGCTCTTTGATGGCGCTCGGGTCCTCTTTCTTCTTCACGGGGGCTTTCGCCCGGTCCTTCTCTTTACTGCAAAGAAACACAGGCACTTCCCTAGGACGAGTGACAGGGAAGGGCGGCCAGCGGCGGAGAGGCTCGGGCCGGGATCCCCTTCCGCCTCTCCCGAGCGGGACAGGAGAACGCTGCAGGGCCCCGCCTGGGAGCGCAGCCACACTCACATGCGCTCATCCCGAAGGCTGATCATGCGCTTCATCACCGCGTACTTCCGCGCCTTCTTCTGCTTCCCCTGCAGGGAGACGGACAGTCAGCCGCAATGAGCCGAGGAGAGACCCGACCCCAGCCCGTCCCCCCCGGGCCCGCTCCCGGCTCACCATGCCGATCACGCTGATCCCACCGCTCCTGCCTCTGCCGTCGGTGCCCCCGGTGCGTCACTGGGCCCCGCCCCGGGACCGCGTCACCTCCGGCTGCCAGCGCCGGGCAGCGGCCGCGCGGGGCAGCGGGACCGGCGTCGCGGCCGCCGTCGGAGCCCACGGTAACGGCGGGAGCGGCGCGTCCCTTCAGCCGCCACGGTCCCGGGCGCGGGGAGCGGGGCTCCCGGGGCGAGGGAGCTGCAGCCCAGCCCGGCCGCCCCGCCGCGACGGGCGTCCCCCAGGGGGTGGCGGCCCCGCTGCCGGCCCGGAGCGCCCGCGGGAGGCCTGGTACAGCCGCGGCGGGGGTCGCTCGGGGCTCCCGGCGGGCGGGAAGGGCCGGCTCTGCCTGCCCCGCCGCGGCCTCAGCTTTTCGTTTCGGTGTAGCCTCACCGCTTGTGCGGCACTGCGGGTGTATCGGTGGCACGTCGGGTAGGGTGGGGGGACTGGCGCCTGTGGGAAGGCCGTGGGGTTTGGTGACCCCGCCGAGCCCACCTTACACACCGATCTCTCTCCTTTCCCCATTCTCACTGTTTAGCACAGCCGGGAGGTTACGGAGGTCTTCAGCCCTCTCACTTGAGCTTGTTGGACTGGTTTTTTTTTTAAGAATTAATGTAGTGCTGGTTTTGCCACACTAGCTCGTAGACTTCTTAATGAAAAGCAGTGGGTTGTCATTATCTTTCGATCTTACGTACATTTGTGACTAGAAATCTTAGCAAATGAGCGTAATTTCAGCTGTACTTTATGCAGCCATAATGGTGTAGTTTGACCCAAAATGTTTTTTGTGCGTGTGAAAGGAAATGTTCTCCAAGTTCTCGGACTGGTCTGGGGCACCTGGTTTCTCATTCCCTTTGCGGGGAAGGGAGAGAGAAAGGCCTTTCTCATTAAAGCTTCTGGGATTAGTGAAAACTTGTAGCTTTTAGTATCTTCCAAATACAACCGGTTTTGTCTGGTGTGCTGGTCAGAAAAAGCAGCCAATGAGGTACCACACCTGTGTAGAACTGTGACTGAGGCTCTGACAGTGAGGAAGAAAATGAGGCTGAAAGAAGAAGGGTGTTAGGGAAACCATAGCTGAGCTTTCTGCCTGAGTGATCATACCCTGCTTAATTGTTGGTTGAGGAAACACAGTTGGTGGAGCTCCCATGATACTGCTTAAGTGACCCTAAATGGTTTGGGAAAGGACATAATTGAGGAGGAAGGGGGTGATCTGCTTTTCCCACTAATATGTAGGGTGGCAGGTGGCTGAATATTTTTCTGGCTTGGAAAGTAGATCTGGTACAAGATGAGACTGGACTGAAAGTTGCCATCTGGCTGACTTGCTGCATTTGAGGAGGACAGAAGGAGCTGACACTGCTGGTGGATGAAAAGTCTTTAGACTTAAGCAGTTGGCAGAAGTCTCCTTTTTTTTTTTTCCCTGTTGCCACTGGTTTTTTAGCTTGTATGTAAATGAATATGACAAATTCCAGCCCTGATGAGAGAATGACTGTTTTGTGTAGACACTGGCCATTGATGTGGCTTTTGTTCTTGATAGCTGATACTGGATCCTGCCTAGTATCTTTTGCGCTGACTTTTCAGTTTCCTGTGAATATATTTTAAACTTAAGGTCTCATGGGCATTCTTGTTTGTTGGCTTGTGCATGATTTACTTAGTGGGAGAAAATACTGTGCCTTTCACTAGAGAATAGTCATCTTGTGCATGGCATGAGATGGACGTGCCATTGGTAGTGGACATTTGTGCACATGGATTGAGAGGACATTCTGCACAGAGATAGATGGTTCTCTTATCTTAGTTGGATGAAGTAGTATCAACCTGCAAAAAGGCTTTAAAACAAAATTAAAAGCGTGTTGTTAAAAAACAGAGGAAAGGCAGTTAAATGTATCAGTGCACCAAATAAAACCAAGAGGCATTATAGATTTCTTAGAATCTCAGTACATCAGTTCTTTAAAGCATGCACCCAGCTGGCTTTGTAGCTGTAGCCACATGAATGTGCCATTACTGTGTTACTGTTCCTTTTATATGTATGGCTACACTTGTGCTTCCTTCTGGAGCTTTGCACTGTGTGCCTCTGACTTCACAGCAGCCATAACACAACAAAATGTATTCCTATTACTGGACTTCCTTTTCTTACTGACTTGAGAGAAGCAATGGTATGAATACTGTTTATTTTATGATTCCATGCTGTCTACCTTGATTATGCCAGTATTTCTCCTTGAGTCAAACCAAGGTGAACTTTTCCAAATCCCCATTTTTCCTGCAGGTAGTGGGAGACCATTGCTTCCTCTGTACTTGGATTAAGATTATTAAGACCTGATAGACAATTCAGCATTTTTTTCTACCCAGCTATGATGGCATGTTCTATTGCTGATTTTCAGAATTTGTCTCCCAAATTGTTACCCAACAGTTCTTAGCACAGATACTGTCGCAGTTTACATCTGCATTCTGTTAAGTGAGTGACAATATGTCTTGGATACCAGCTACTTGCAACTAGGTTCTTTACCTCCATGTATTCCAGCTGCAAGACCATCCTTAAAGCTGCAGGCAGTGTGTAAACTAGAAGAAAGTTGATTGTCTGACAGCCACTTCATCTCTGGAGGTCACCGGACTTGGTGTCTTGTTTACCACTTCATGTGGGGGTAATAAAATGAGAAGCTGCTATGCTGATTAAAGGAGATAACTAATTCCCTGTGTCCACCAAGTTCAGAAATTCTGCAACCCAGATCACAAGACTCAGGCTCCAATTGACTTAAAAACCCTCATAGCTGAAATGATGGATCTTTCTCTTTTTTACTTGAGAGAGCGCCTGTGTGACTTGTGGTTTGCTTTACAGAAGGAAAGGAGTTGCAGAGTCAGGCAGAAATACCTTGGGTAGATGAACCTACAGGGCCAGCTTTGTGTTGATGTTTTTTTGGTGACGTGAAAAATCTGGTTCTGTAAAATGCTGGAGGGAGATCTTGTAGATTCCTAAATATTGATAAGTTTCTATGAAATTCCTCAGCCTTTGACAACCAGGCCAAGCTGAAGCAGGGTTTCAACCAGGCATTTGTAGGACATCTTGGATATGTACTGTAAAATAACTAAAATATCAAGGAATTTGCTAGGTCTATGATTCTTAATACAAAGAGATTATTTATGGGTTTAGAAACCTGAAGCTTCATCTAGGAGGAGAATGAAAACTTACGGCCTGGGGACTGCAACACTGTTCACTAAGTAGAGGAAAGAGGAAAATAGCTGAGTGGGTGGGATTTTCCGTGAGATGTGGGTGAGGAAAAGACAGTGAAAGTCTGGCTGTTTCTGCAGTGCAGTCAGAGAGCTCTGCACAGACTTACTGTTTGGTTTTCATATGCATTAGAAAGCTTAGTGGAAGTGTGCGAAGGCAGCCAGATCTGTATGATTATTGGATGGAGGGAAATAAGAGACTTGTGAAGAGGAGGGCAGATGAGGGGGGACTAAGAAGGAAGTGACAGCTGAGGTGGTGGTATGGCAGGCAGGAGGAGCACATCACTTACATCCCCAGAAGAGGGGACTGTCTTAACAGACAGCTGCTGTGCTGAGCGTGGGTCTTTTCTCTTCATTCTCACTCCTTTATGTAATCTGTGTTCTGAATGAGTAGATACTGACTGTGTAGGGTCTGTAGTGTTTCTTCTGGCATATGTCCTGGTTTTTGTGGGCTGCGTCAATCCTTGCTGTTAAATTTTAATTTCTTTTTATCTCAATCCTGACAGTAAACTGTAATTTAGTGAATAGTGCTGCTGAAACTGAAATCCCTTATGAGGATAGTGGTTTCCTGAATACTTCAAACAACAACAGCAGGAAAAAAAATATCCAGTTTGCTTTGTGGTCCAAGAACTTTCAAAGACTATTTTTTTCTAGCCTTGACCATAAATAGCCCTTTAAATCTGAGCAAAATCAGTCTGAGAATAGTGTATGGCATTTTGTTGGGTGTAAAGGCTTGAAGTGCTTCCTGATCATACACTGGTTTGGCTTGGAAGGGACCTTAAGGAACATCTAATTCCAACTCCCCTGGGCAGGGACATCTTTCACTAGATCAGGTTGCTCAAAGCCCCATCCAACCTTGCCATGAACACTTCCAAGGATGGGGCAGCAACAACTTCTCTGGGCAACCTGATCCAGTGCCTCACCGCTCATAGTGAAGAATTTCCTCCTTATTTCTTCCTAATCTAAACCTACCCTCTTTCAGTCTGAAGCGATTCCGCCTTGTCCTATCACTACATGCCCCTGTAAAAGTTCCTTTTCATCTTTCTGGTAGGCCACCTTTAGGTACTGGAAGGTGCTATAAGCTCTCTTCAGCCTTCTCTTCTGCAGGCTAAACAACCCCAGCTCTCTCAGCCTGTCTTCACAGGAGAGGTGGTCCAGCCCTCTGATCATCTTCATGGCCTTCCTCTGGACCTGCTACAACAGGTCCATGTCTTCCCTGTACTGAGGGCACCAGAATTGGACATCATACTCCAGGTGAGATCTCATGGGAGCAGAGTAGAGGGGAGAGTCACCTCCCTTGACCTGCTGGTCACATTTCTTTTGATGCAGCCCAGGATATGGTTGGCTTTCCAGGCTGCAAGCATACATTGTCAGGTCATGGAATCATAGAATATCCTGACTTGAAAGGGACCCACAAGGATCATTGAAGTCCAACTCCTGGCCCTGCACAAGACAGCCCCAAGAGTCACACCATGTGCCTGAGAGTGTTGTCCAAACATTTCTTAAAGTCTGTCAGGCTTGGTATGGTGACCACTTTCCTGGGGAGCCTGTTCCAGTGCTCAAACACTCTCTGGGCTAAGAACCTTTTCCTAATATCCAACCTAAACCTTCTCTGACACACCTTCACTCCATTCCTTTAGGTCCTTCCTCTGGTCACCAGAGAGATCAGTGCCTGCACCTCCACTTCCCCTTGTGAGGAAATTGTAGGCTGTGATGAGGTCTCCCCTCAGTCTCCTCTTCTCCAGGCTGAACAGACCAAATGACCTCAGCCATTTCTCATACAACTTCCCCTCCAGACCCTTCACCTGGGTGGCATCTTCATGCCTTCATT